ACGGGCTGCCGCACACCGCGCTGCCGCACGAGTCGCGTGGGATGATGGATGTTGAACCAGAGCTGGGATCGTCGCTCCTTTTTCACTGTGCGGCTGATGGCGAAAGTACCCTCTGGTAAACATTCACAGTTTGCTATTGAAAATGGTGATTTATAGTGGATTTAGCCAGCTATAAAATCGTGATTTTCCAGTTCGCAAAATGTGAATGTTTACCAGAGGGTATCACCAGGACTCACCAGGATTCACAGCGCCAACAGTGAGATTTTCACAGAAAATCGTGGCTGGGACATGCCTGGGACTCTCCGATGACTGGTCGGTTCCGGTTCGGGTCTCCGATGACCTTTTTTCGGTGGAAAAAAACCGTTGAAATCACATGGTTTTCGGGTCAACACCCCATGATTCTCCATTTGAAAGTTTCCAATCCATGGGGGGGTACCCCCAGTTCTCATCATCCATTTTAGATGTGGATTTTCCATTACCCTCTGGTTATTTAACATAGCCATGGGAAATGGTCCATTTATAGATGGTTTACCTATTAAAAATGGTGATTTTCCATGGCTATGTTAAATAACCAGAGGGTAACTATAAACCATCCAGCTATGATAGCGATAAAGGGGTGCCACCATGACTATGGAAACCTCCATTTGAGTGGGATGAAGATCCAGTTATACCCGCTATGACTTGGGGAAAAACTACCGGGGTGCCATGACTGCCAGCTATGACTTCACTATGGATGGAATGCCATAGAAAAGCGCCCACATAGCGTATCACTGTTCACGTACCCGGCCTGGTAAACATTCACATTTTGCGAACTGGAAAATCACAATTTTTTAGCTGGCTAAATCGACTATTTCGACTGGGCCATGTTCAATAGCAAACTGTGAATGTTTACCAGAGGGTACGACTGTCGTGTCCCAACACGGTGTCACTGTCTGGATGTCATGGTCTGGAACCTTTTGTTTCACCCCCCCATATGCTGCCCATATGCTCCATGGTGCTGGTATATCTACCAACATTTGCCCTCAAAATCACCCAGTTTTGTAGGTAGATATAGAATACATGGAGCATATGGGTAGACTAGTCATTGGGTATTACATGTTATTACCCAAATTGTCGTTAGTGACATTTCAGATGATTGGCATGTAACAATATACATATCAAAATACCCTCTGGTAATTTAACGTAGCTATGGAAAATCACCATTTTTAATGGGAAAATCCACTATTTCTATGGCCATTTTCAATAGCTACGTAACAAATTACCAGAGGGTAACTCAAAATACCCCGGTGCTTGTTGACAAATCCCCGAGATCCCCCAAGTCTTTCCTGCTCAACGAATGATTCCCATGTCTAATCCTTCCCGAATTGTCTGGGATGGCCAAATCCCAACAGAACTTTTGGTCCCATTGCAAAAGTAAAAATGGGTCCACTTAAAGATATCTAAAATCACCTATATTACGAAGTAGATAAGTAGGGTGAATTTAACATCTAAGTTATTTCTGGTCAAAAGCGGTCCTTACTTTTCTGTCCCCGTCTCAAGCTAGTTGTATTGCTTGATTCCGCCTTCCTATGTTAAGTCACCAATTCTTGGTTTTTGGGATCGAAGCCAATCATGCCAATCACTCCAAAAGGGTTGAGTGAAATCCAACCTGATTTGATGAAGCGAGTTCTACATCCAGACTGAGCCATTGTTCAAAATATACTCCTATGCCATCCCATTATACTAGTTGGTTCGAAACGGTTTCCCTTCTATGGGTTAGTTTATAATCCCCAATAACCCAGGTAGTAGAACCCCGTATGATGCCCAATCAACCAGGTCATTTTTGACAGTGGACAAAATCCTGAGTTGGTAAGCCTTAGTAGCTATGAACCATCTATGAAGCACGGAAATAATGAGATTATCATGGGATTTGCAGATTTTTGCCAACTCGTGCAGGATTTCGCAATCATCCACTGTAGCTCAAATATTCCCATGATTCCATCTTGCTCGTTTTACGGCGATGATATTTTACTATAATCCCACTGGCACCATAGTGATATATGTATATATATATATGGCTATATCACTCTATTATAATATATATATATTATAATGGCTATATCATGTTATACAACTATTGTTTTATATGATTATATCATATCCCATGATTATATTCGAGCCCGGCACTCCGACCAGGACGTGCCCGAGCCCGCTCCCGCTGCCGCTGCGCCGGTGGACGATGACACCGGCAGCAATGGGGGCGATGGACGTAAGGCGATGGCGCTCGGGAGGTTTACGTTGGGATACCTTGGGCTTGGAAAAATCATCTATAAATCAATGGGAATTTCAGGATCCTAAAATGGAGGTACTGTACCATATAAGGCCATATTTTGTGGTGATATTCACTTACATAGGCCTTATATAGGCCTTATATATGGTAGGTACCTCCATTTTAGGATCCCGAAATTCCCATTGAATAAATGGCGGATATTTTATATAATGACTATGTTGGAATAGAAATATTATGGAATGTAATGGGTGATATAATATACTACCCTCTGGTAAACATTCACAGTTTGCTATTGAAGCCATGGCCCAGTCGAAATAGTTGATTTACCCAGCTATAAAATGGTGATTTTCCATAGTTATGTTAGTTTACCAGAGGGTAATGACTATGTTGTAATAGGGATATTTTGGACTATTATAATGTTCAATGCTATATCTTTAGCCATAAGGTGGGTTTACCTGGCTTAATCTGGGCCTTGGTTTTGGAAAGGCTTCAGAAAAGGTGGGGCTCTCACCAAGCACAATGGGTGTTTGAAGCAACAGAAAAATGGGCTTGTACAAAGCGGCAGTTTCTTTCGGCTGGGTCTAACCAACAAACAGGGATTTTTTTCAGCAGCGGAAACTGGTTATTGAACCAACGCTCCTTGGTGATTTTGAGCAACGCAAATCAACATTTGACCATACTTCCCTATGGATCCAAGTATCTTCTTAGGAAGTGTTTGGGGTATAATTTACTATAATGTGGAGGGTTAAGTACCTTCTCAGACAGTGTTTGGATCCATAGGGCTTGGGATGTGCATCCCATTTAAAGGATCCATGATTTCAAATCCAAACAGAAAATTCCGTGGGGATATATATCACCTATTTCTTCGTGGGATCCCCAAGAGAGTTGCGACCTATTTCAGCGAGATGCTCGTATCGTCGTAGTAGCGTATGCGTATCCGGTATCCTGGGATGAGCGATCAGGAGAACATCCAGGAAGAAAAATCAGAGTTATCCTCTGGTAAACTATAGGAGTTGGTTTACAATCCCCATGAGTACTATATAATTAGATATAACTGATATAACCCCCTAACAACAGATGTGGTATACTTGGTAAACCCAATCATGAACCATCCCATTCACCAACCATTTGCGTTTGTTTTTTACATTATCCTAGTCATAGAGGTATACCCAATTTCATAAACCTCTATTGGGGATGTTGACTATTAATTATTGGGTTTACCCCCTGTGGGGATGTTCATTTAAACATTTTTTTGGCGTGGTTCCATTGTGACATAATTTATCTGGGTGAATTTTGCAGCCTCAACACGATATCACCACAACTGATTCCTAGAATGGTTTCTTTCAGGTGTGTGAGTCATCGTAATTTCGCTCAGATTAATCATTCAACCACGGTTATGGCCGTTTACCAATTATAAATGGTGCAATTATAAGTGGGATTGTACCCTCTGGTAAACTAACATAGCTATTGAAAATGTCCATTTATAAATATTTATAATGAGTTTTCCCACGAACAAATGGTGGATCTTTCCATCGTTTTTTGTATGTTTACCAGAGGGTACATTCCATGTTTATGGGCTGACTTTCTGACTAACTGGTATTCTGGCCATAGCTGCAGAGATTGGACTCGTTTATAGCACCTCCAAGACCACCAAGGACGGTGTCGCAAAACCGGCAGGTTTTGTTGCCGGGTATCTAAGCCGTAAAACAGATAGTCAACGCCCTTTGGAATGTTGGACATATAATATATAAACACTGGTAATTCAACATAGCCATGGAAAATGGCCCATTTATAGATGGTTTACCTATTAAAAATGGTGATTTTCCATGGCTATGTTAAATAACCAGATGGTAAACATATAAGTTATATATATACATATGATATCTCTATTTATGATTAGCGTTTAAAGTGTCTAAATGTAGAATATAATGTATGTTTCCCGACACACATCAAGATGGAATGTTTCATTTTTCTTGGTGTGAATGGAAATTCCAAGTTGCAACTCTTTGGGATCCACGGATATCAAGCTGAATCAAGCTGTTACTCATCGTTTGAATGGGATTTCCTCTGCGAATGAGGCACTGCAACGGAACATACATGGACATTTCGTTGGATGGAAACTGCTTGGTGGTTTGGAACATGAATTTGATGACTTTCCATTCAGTTGGGAATTTCATCATCCCAACTGACGAACTCCATCATTTTTCAGAGGGGTAGGTCAACCACCAACCAGGAAATCATCTACACTGTGGTATTTTACACAGTGGAAATACTGCAGTCCAGCCATTCTGCCTCCAACATTCTGCACATTGGTGGTTGCCGCTCCACTGTGCACGTCGCTGCTCTGTCCTAAAAGGTTTAGATTTCATTCAACAATCATCGGGATCAAAGCAATGAAGAAAAAAGAGGCAAAGCCGACAAGGCAATGATAGATTGTTGCGTCAACATTCTAACAACAGACATATATTTGTTTCTGTATGATATTCTTTGGACCCTGACTTTCCTTTCTCTAACCCACTTCTATGATCAAGTGTGTACATGAAATATCTCAACCTTTTCAGCAACCCTACTGTCTGAGTGTTTCTCTTGAACTTCCCTCATCACTTTTTCAACATCCCGGTTTTCTTCAACTGTTTTAAGGACGCCACATTTTTCTCCGAACGTTTCGAATCTTCACCAACCATTTTTTCAGCCCATGTCATGTCGGCTTCGGCGGCTTGCGGGGTGAGCCATGAACGGCTTGCAGCACTTTCTGTGTGGCAACTTTTTAGGGCGCTTCGATGATCACCACGCCTCGCCGCCAGTGCTTCGGCCGAAGTCGTGCCGGAGATTTTTTGCCACGGTCGGCAATCGGTGGCAATCGGAAAGCCCCGAAGTAAATGAAGGGTTTACATGGTCTTCATGGGAGAATCCCACTAATTTGCCTATACCCTTTGGTAAACTAACATAACTATGGAAAATCACCATGGGAATCATGGGAAAATTCACTATAAATGGTGATTTTCAATAGCTTTTTGTATGTTTACCAGAGGGTAAATGAATGGACAATCCCCGAATGAAAGATTTCGGTGGGATTTTTCAGCCATGTGCCATGTGTTTTGAAGGGCAAGCCGCTTATCCGACTTCACCCCGAGACGGGTAAGTTGGTAACAATAACTCAGATTTATGGTAGGTATACCCCCTGGTAAACATACAAATAAAACTATATGGAAAATTAGCCATAGACATGGATGATTTACCGAACTTAAAACTTGTGATTTTCTATAGTTATGTTAGTTTACCAGAGGGTATCTACAGTAATCTACAGTCAAATTGGCTTATTAGAAACACATATTTTGTGGTGCCTCAATTTGTAGACCCAGTCGCAGCTTCTCAGGAAGTATTTGTAGATCCATAAAGATAACAGGGAATCAGCTGGCTCGCCAGATGATACAACCTACTCCAATGTGGGGCCGTGACGAAATCGCAAAGTTGGTGAATATAGTGATAGTGATATCATTGAATAATGCGAAAGTAAGTCACGTGGTTCTGTGCCATTTGGGCACCATGTCAAAGGAAAGAGACACCGTTTACCCTCTGGTAAGTTGCTACATTTCATTTAGTTCGTTGACTTACCTATTAGTTAGATTAGATGGTGATTTTCCATAGTTTTTGTATGTTTACCAGAGGGTACTCCTTTGCCTCACGTTTCTCTTCCTGTAGAAGTTCCCAAACTTCATCAAGGTGATAAAATGACCATGAGTCCGTGGCCCAGGACCCATAGGACCGATGAAAATTGGAGATACCTACCATTTTTTCAGACCTACCATATGTAAGGGCTAAATTTCAGGGAATATCCCCAGAAAATATTGCCTTATATAGTACAGTGCCTCCATTTTAGGGTCTTGAAATTCCAAAAAAAAAGCGTCGTTCCACGAGAAAAGAAAGAAGGAGAAGAAACAGGAGAAGCAAAGGACTTCGAGGCTGTAAGCCCATGTAACTTGACCATGATAAGACCTAGTTACAAATGAATTCTTAGAGTCTTAGAGAATTGTTGTCCTCAAGTGTATCCCATACTTAAGAACCATACTTACAGGGATTCTATCCCAACTTAGGATTTTTACTACCATCGTTACCCCGTAAATTACCGTTGTATATCCCAATGTTGGTTGTACATTGGTTGTATATCCTATCAGATCATGTTTAACCCCTTTTATAAGCATAGTTAAGTTCATTAAATCCCATTTATACATAGTCATACAAGAGTTATACCATGCTTGAGTTCTATGAAAAATATCCATAGTTCTACCATGTTATACCAAAGTTTAATCACTTATACCATACCCTATGGATCCAAACACTGTGTGAGAAGGTACTTAACCCTCCAAATCATAGTAAATTATACCCCAAACACTTCCTAAGAAGGAACTTGGATCCATAGGGATAGTTATGCCAAAGGTAAACCCACACAAGGTGAGGCTCCCCAGTTATGAGTTGGTAAAAAACAACCTCTTGAACTATAGTTATATTATATTCCCCATAAACCATAGAATTCACCAATTTATAACTCAATAACATGCAATAACTGTGGTTATATAGCATAATTCTAATTGGTGATACTATGGTTTATAACCATGGTTTCCATTTGTACATAGTTTTGGCAAAGTTTTACCTATGCAACCATAGTTGAAAACATTGAGGAAATCTCGGAGAATTGCTGCGTTTTCAAACTTGCAAATAGGCAGATAGATAGATAGCTAGCTAGATAGATATATATGCAAATAGACAACTACAACTACAACTGCAGCTGCAACTACAACTGCAACTACACTACCACTACAAATACAAACACAATGCAAAATATATTACACTACAGTACAATGATTATACTACACTACGCCAATTACACTACACTATACTACACTACACTAATTACACTACACTACACTAATTACAGTACACTGCACTAATTTCACTACAACTATAACTATGGAGATCGCGCGAAGGAATTCGTGTCAATATCTGCACTTGTAGATATTCGACGTGATGTACCTGAATATTGCAAGCATTTCTAGATGTAGAATGGCAAATCATACTTTTTGTTTGTTAAAACTTGTAATATACAATAAACAGTATATATATAGATATACATACACACATACAGTGTATAATCATTGATTTGATATGTGCTTCAATCCGTTCTTCCGCGTGCAAGCAGAGTTCCTTTCACAAGTTACGCCACTCAAGACTGCATTGTTTTCACATGCTTTCACTTCATCCGCGACCTTGCGCAGCATCTCTCATCTTGGCGATGTTGCCCAGATCCTCATGCTTTGAACAACCCGTTTCTGGTCGGTTCTGAATGTCCTTCTGTGACCACTCCATGAAAATTTGCCTCCCAAATTCGGCCGTGACCTGAAGCAAAAAGAGAGAACGTGTTCCACCGCAACCTGAGGTCAAGGGGTCTGATGCAAAGTGCTCGCGGAAACTCTTTTGGGCCCAAGTCGCACAGCATTGCGGCACAGATCTGAAAAATATACATCAGCGAGACATGGCTTCACACAGCCAGCTCAGGATCAGGACTAAGTTGCGTTTCTTGTCCCTTTCCTGTCACAGCTTTGCGTTTTGCGGGGACTCTGAGACTTGTGAACAGCGAGTTCAAGTGGTCCAGATGGTAAAAGAGCTGTTGGACAGTGATGTTTGTTGGGGACGGTGCATCCCTATGGTCCGCGTTTTTTTTGGGAAGTCGGGCGCTGGGTTCAAGACGCTGCAGTCAAGTTTACACCGCGGCTGCAGGCAAAGTTGTGCTAGAACTACAACTACACTACGTATACATCGTTACACTAAACTACACTAATTTCAGTACAGGACACTGCAACTACAACTACAACTACAACTACAACTACACTACAAGTACAATTACAACTACATTGCACTACATTACACATTACATTACACTACACTACGCTACGTTACACTGCACTAACTACACTACACTACTTTACACTACACTACTTTACACTACCCTACACTACACTAGACTACAATACAGCACACAACACTACATCACATTACACTACATTACATTACACTACACTCATTACACCACACCACAGCTACAACTGCAACTACGCTACACTAATTAGAGCACACTACAACTGCAACTTCACTACGCTACAGCTACAGCTACAACTGCACTACAACATACTACATCCAGCAGTTGTGGGTGAGGTGACCACTGCAACCATTGCAACCACACCAACAAAAATAACATAACACAACTGCCACCACGTTTCGGTCCATCAGTGGATTCGCTCTGCCATCCATGCGTCACAACAACTCACCTCTCCTATAGTGTCCTATTTTTGAAACTTCCGGCACCGCCTTGCGCGGTCCTACTGGTAACAATAGTGTATGACACTTACACATATATTTAGATGGGGTTGTAAGCCAACTTATAACTAGGCATTTTCCAATGGTTTTCCAATTGTTCCACCATTTTCCTATAGTTTTTCCATGCTTTTCCAAGTGTTTTTTCAATGGGCCCAAACGTCCGAATGTCCCATTCACCGAGGCCAGCGATGAAGGCGAATCGGAGAGCGAGAAGGAACTCTACATGCCGCGGGTCTCTTGGTGTTGCAAAATCCCCTGTTGATCCAGCAGCAACGCGGAGGTTTCCTGAAATAGGGGTACCCCCAAATCATCCATTTTAACGGTATTTTCCATTATAAACCATCTGTTTGCGGGGTGCCCCCATTTATGGAAACCCCCATGTTGAAAACCGACTTATATAAATGTTCTGTTGTTTATTTACGTACAGAATTTTGACAGACCAACAAATTTGAATCTTAGATCATATTTGGTGAGAATTTAGGTACTGTCCAATAAATTTGAATATTAGTACAGTATAGATGTGTTTTTGAGGATTTAGCGCTATAGTATGATTATTGTATGATTTAAGTCTCCGGTGATTATACATTACAAAATAGTTTCAACCACTATTTAAACAAAGATGCGTTACAAAACACAGTTTCTATCTCATCATGTTTGATTTTGTTATCCCATGCGTATCTCAGTATATCACCATTTCACCACTAGCCCAATATTTCCTGTTTATATAATTGTTCATTTCACACTATCCGGGTGTAAAAACACATAAAAATAGGAAGCTTCATTCAGATTAACACTACTAACACTACTACAAAACAACACTACGAACACTCTTAATACTACTAACTAATACTAACTAATACTAACTAACTAACTAACTAACTAACTAACTAACTAACTAACTAACTAACTAACTAACTAACTAACACATTCAACACCATTTCGCCATTCTTTCACTACTACCACTGGGTAACTCTTCCCCGAGGACTACGAAGCTCCCGTGGGCCGTGCCTCCAAGGGCCGGAGCGTCATGGGCCGCGCAGCGCGAGACTGGAACCAGTACCGCAAGCCCATTGTGGTGGAGACGCGGGTGGGCAAGGACTCGGAGCCGGGGTCACATGAAGAACTATATAAGGCTACATATAAAAATAAATAAATAAATAAATATATATATATACATTTATATATATATATACATATATATATATATATTATAATGCAGTATATATATATAAATTATACATAAATATTGTGTATATATATAAATATGAATTACGATTTGATTATCTGTGTCATACCTGAAAGCTCAACAACAATCGAATATGTATATATATATATATATATATTTAAATACACGTATAAATGGCAGAGTTTGGCCAGTTATAGTACATTATACATAATGTATATGTTTCAGCGAATGTTGATTGATACTGCCCAATACAAGGTTGTGCCCCATGGTTAGCTATTCATCACTATATACATAGGAACAGCATGGAACAGCTCCTTTTTGAATGGATTTTGGATCACGAGGAACTCAACACATGGCTGCGAAGATATTTGTTTGCTACGTTTCAATCCGCAAAGGCTTGCGAACGGCGTAGGGTTCTGCATTTGACACAACCGCAATTCGCAGATTAATATGTATATATATATATATGAATTTCACAGGGTGTCAAATCAATGCCACATATCTATAGCTACATATATTATTATATAGTTATACTCGCAGCAAACCCTACTGGTAGTTACTCTACTTCAGGATCAGTTTAGCAAACTATCTGAGGAACCACCTTGGTAGTATCTATCAACATTTACCACAAAATACCATAAGTGTATGCGTATTTGGAGGTTTCTATAAATGGGGGATCGCCAATAGCTGGATGGCTTATAATGGAAGATCCTATTAAAATGTATGATGCAAAGCGGTACCCCAAATTTTAGGAAACCTCCATTTACATATGTATATATGCTATTCCCGGCTAAACGCATGCGGATCGCTTCTGAATTCAAAAGAGTTGCTTCATAAACCCCAGCTATGACCATGAACTACTTTGATATATCATGATATATCCACCAAATTCCCGACAGTCATAATTATATGAGTTATTTCTACAACTATAAGAGCTATATCTACCTTAAACCACAGAGTTTTATCAATGTTCGTTACTTCTTTCAACCTAGTGATTAATCGCTGAAACAGCTATGGTTTATGATACATATAATTATATATAATATGTTATAACTACATAAAATTTGTATGGAGTTTATATTCATCAACTTATAACCTCCGTTTTTTTCGGAGATCTTCCCAACATCTTTCCCATATTTCCATGGGTTTTGTTCCAACATCTTTTCGCCGTTCCTACGCTCCGCGGCACTTCCAGGAGGTCCTGCGGAGCCAATTCGTAGGCATCCGGGTGACGCGGCGCGAGCTGCAGCAAGGCATGGCCAAGAAGCTCGCCACTGTGGATGTGCACACCATCGAGAGCCTCGACGACAGTTCGGTTGTTAAAGTCAGTGATTTCTATATGGTCGCCGGTGAAGTAAAAAAAGGGGAGTTATTGCGAAAAAAATATGATAAAACTAGGTTATAGCTATAAGATCACTATGAAAAAGTTAGTTTTAATACTGGTAAAAACTCCTAAAGCCAATTTTTTATACGGTTATCATTTGTTAGATAGAAATAATTGGCTTTAGGGCTTATCATAGTTACCACATATGGCTACCATTGAAGTTATAAATGTATATAAATGTGATAATCATAGCTATCATTCCAATTTATGGGATGACTTATTAACTTGTGACTGGTAAAGGACCAGAACGGTAGGAATCGCAAAGTGTTGGTGAATATTATGATATGATGCTGGGAAAATTGGGATTCTATGGATAGAATGGTCTAACATATGTTAATTTGGTTGATATAACATAGTCACTTAGTTATGGTTGAGTTCAGTGGCTGAATTCTATGTTTTTTTTGGAACATCTGAGCTTTAGAGTTCGGAACTGCATGGAGGAACCAGCCGGCCATTGGGGTAACATGTTACCCTCTGGCAATTTGTTACATAGCAAACTGGAAAATGGCCATAGAAATAGTGCATTTTCCCAGCTACAAAATGGTGACTTTCCATAGTTATGTTAGTCTACCAGAGGGTATAACATGTTATCAAAATTGGATTTGGAATATAACCAGTCGGGGTATGACTGATGATAACGAGTATTAACTCGAATGTGGGGCCCCCAAGCGCCATAAATTGTTTCATAAACCCCATGAATATTATAGTGTTAAGTATCATAAAGCATACTTATTGGAGTTATAAACCAACTTAGCTATCTAGGGCGGGGCCCCATTTTGTAGTAATTAGTAACTTCTGAGCTGTTCTTAAGCGCGGTCAGCTCAGCCAGTTATAAATGGGAGAACCTAAGAATGGAGGATGGTCCATGATGGTCCCTGGGTGGTGTACCCTATGGATCCAGCCATAGCTTCAGGGTTTTTTCCAGGGATAACTAGGTCAATCTTACATGGATACAAACTAATCCTAACTAGTCTTTTGGTGTTAATGGGAATATCTACTAACTCACCAGCAAAGAATTTGTCATTTTTTGCAGGGGCCCTCTGGCTGATTGGCAATGGATATTGGGGCTTAGCCGTACCTTCTCAGTCCTTGGATCTCACAGGCGACACCGTAAATTCACCATACTGTATACCATACTGGAACAACTACCCTCTGGTAAACATACATTTTGCTATGGAAAATCACCATTTTCAATGGGTAAATCAGCTATAAATGGTCATTTTCAATAGCTATGTTAAATTACCAGAGGGTAAGCACCACCCTGAAAATCAAACGTGGCTTACTGGAAAATCCCCCATCGTTGATTTTCCCAGCTATAGACCGCCATGTAGTGCGGGGAGTTACCTTCTTTGCATGTTTGATTACTGAAGAGTTGGATGTTGCTGGGCCATTTTGGGACAAACCAATGCTGGTTGGTGGTTTGGAATATTGAATATGGCTTTAATTTTTCCATATATTGGGAACAATCATCCCAACTGACTTTCATATTTTTCAGAGGGGTTGAAACCACCAACCAGCCATATGTACTCTTTTCCTACAGTTGTGAGCAAAATCTGATTGGTTGAGGTCTTTTTCACATCGGTGTCTGAAAATGAGATAAAATCATGCGGCGATGGTTGGAGCTGCCAATGCAGGATCTCAGAGAACTTTGTTGCGTGCACGCAAGCGCAAGCACGCACCAGTTGGATGCAGGATGTCGCTGGCCAGTGATGGCCAGTGATGGCATTTAATGCCGGCCTCCAGAAATCCGGCGGCTGAACTGCCGGCCCAATGTCCGAAAGTTGTGTTTCTCTGACGCGCTCCCCACAAGCTGCAGGCTTGGAGCGTTTTTCCCCAAAAAACGCTCCATTTAAAAGGGATGAAGAGGATTTATCAGCCAGCAATGTTTGATTGCCGGATGGTATCCTTGTTTCATGGTCGATTTATGAGCCGCATCATTTTTCAGTCCCCTCCACCAAGGATCATTCAGTGCAAGTTGAAGGAGGACAGCTGGACTTTGACAACCTCAGATTGGGTAAAGGATTAATTGGTTTATTGCTGATATTGGGCTTTTTCTAGCACGCCAAAACCAGATCACTGCAATCCATTATTTGAATAGTTTCAAGCAAGCCAGTAGAACCAGTTAGCAACCAAGTTTTTAGCGCTGCTTAAAATGTTGGGGTGATGGCTTACTGCAATGTGGGTTTGTCTCAAATGAGGTACAATACCCTTAGATCCTCTGGCTCGGCTAGTCATCATCATACTACCCATTGAAATGTGTTTCTGAGGCTATACCTACACACCATTTTCAGTCACACCCAAGTGGTGATGTTGGAACTCCAAAATAGGAACTGTTAGAGGTGCAAATGGTGATGGGATTTTGGGGTATCCAATTTTCAGTCGAACCCATCGAACCCATGCGGTGCCCTTGAATGAAATGTTTGTTGGTTCACAGCCCACAAAAGAATTACTGTAGTCATATCATGTCATATCTACCTAGCCCATGGTGACACATTGGTTTTAAACCATTGGTATCCTGGTTCAACTCCATTCTTTCTCGGTAGTGTCGTCCTTTCATACTGGTTGGTTGAGAATGGGAGTCCCCATTCATGGATGGTGATATTCCCAAATATGATATAAATTATAAAGGTTAGTAATGGTTGGTATTATCCCGGAACAAATCATCAACCGGACCAATCATCATTTCTCACTTATATCCATTTAAATCCATTTATATCCCCGTATTTTGATGGTTAAAACTCCTATCAAATGATGGTTAAATCATCCGCCAACAACTGGCTCGTCTCTCGCAGCCTCGCAGCGACGTTACGTGAGGAGCCGCCCTTGAGCGAAATGCTGGGCGTGGTGGTCTTGAAGTTGTCGCGCAATGAACTCACGTGTCACGCGACATTTTTTTTATGTTGGAGTTTCCGTAGACGAGGAGGTTTCGGGCTGAAAAAATGGGCTTGAAGGTGATCCTCCTGTACACTAACCCTAGATGTGGAAAACCCACCATGAATGTAAATCATTTCCGAACGGAAATTCCATGGGTTTTAGATACATCTATGTTAATCAACCCCAGGGTGTTTTTTTTCTGTTTTATCGATGGAACTATGCAAACAAAATACACATCGGATCGGAATATCATGGAAAATGTATTATACCGTATACACTTAGCTGAAAAAACACACAGGGCATATGTCTGGTTCAGGGTATCTATAGGGCCTTCGTGTAAGGTTATTTCATCCCAAAGATACCCCCTACAAACGAAGGTGCAGGGTCTACAGTTGAACGGACGAACATCAGTCAACTTATTTCAACGGCGTGGACCACTTGATGTCTGGTTGGTGGTTGGAACATTTTTTATGTTCCCCAATAGTTGGGATGTTGATCCAATCTGACTTTCATATTTTTCAGGTGGGTAGGTCAACCACCAACCAGATGTGGATTTATGATTATTTACCCTCTGGTTTTTTAACATAGCCATGGTATAGACGGCCCATTTATAGATGGTTTACCTATTAAACATGGTGATTTTCCATGGCTATGTTAGTCATAACCAGATGTTTTTAGGAAACTAGCATTTTGAATATACGTTGGCAAGATGATCATGATGATTTTACTCAACATGAACATGTCAGGGGTGTAAGCAAGCCGATTCAGTTTGATGGTGGTAACTAGGTCAATCTTACTTTGATACAAACTAATCCCTTAGTCTTTTGGTATTAATGATAATATCTACGTTCACCAGCATTTTTGTTTTGCAGGGTATCTAAGATTGGCAATGGTAAATCACCCTGAACTACACTCTCAGACTTAGTTGAAGATGTCGAGACATTTTGCAGAAATTCACGAAAAGTTTCCTCTGAAGATCCTGAATTTTTCCAACCGTAAACCATTGCTACAAGGCATCTGAAACAGAGGGTGACCTGATGTTATTCTTTGACTTCCATGGCGTGTTTTTTTATTCCCACATTAAAAAACAGTAACATTGATCAATTTGATCAATGTTTTTTGGGATGTATTCAGGATAATGGTGCCTTTATCCCATGCAAAAACTTAAACCCATGCAGGATGGGGCCCCCAAGATAGCTAAGTTGGTTTATAAGTGGCTTAACAATGGTTTGTGGTAGATATAACTATAGTTAATGGGGTTTATAATTGTTTATAAACCAACTTATAACTGGGGGGGCCCATCTTGTATCCATGTGACTTGATTTTCACTTCCAATTCTGAGATCTCGTGTCCGCTCGAGGTCTAAGTCGCCCTCCGAAATCGCAACACCTGAAACCGCTGGGAAGCTCAGTGCTTGTTGTTCTGGCCATGGCTACAAAGTGGGGCCCCGATGGCCACGAAATCGCCTTTGGTGACCATATACCCAACATACAAAAAACAATGGAACATCACCATTTTAAATGGCTAAATCCACTATTTCTATGGCCATTTTCAATAGCAAACTGTTTGTTTACCAGAGGGTAATTCCAATTTCACGATTGGGTTTATTTATGAGATATGTAACATCTAAAACTCTGGTCTACACATAACTTAGCTATGGTTTATGGATGTTGATGGTACTACTATAGTATTCATGAGGTATTTTTCAAGACGCCCCAGATACGAAAAGAGGTACCATTCGTCGACCGATGCTTCAAGGCTGCGACTGGAAACGTTGGCGTGTGATCGAAACAAACTGCAACAAGTTGAACCAGGCTCTGCGGCCAAGGGTTGGCGACACACACGGAGCGTTGAAGGCTTTGCGATGTTCCTGCAAAGGGGACTTAAGGTGGTTTATCATCACAAAGCTGTTTATACAAAAATCATGATAATCCATCATTTGTTGTAAAAACTTAAGGTAAATCCATCAAAGGTGGTTTTTACAAAAAATGATGGATTTACCAAAAAACATGCTGCTTTCGGGAAATGGTGATCAACCGTGGAGAATTTCGGACTTACAGGCTTTACTATCCCTGTATAGGATAGCTAGGTCGCTTGAAGTAACCAGGTGATTTGTTTATGGCTTATAGATGCTTGCAGTACTTAATGGGGTGAAACTCAACCGACACACATGTCACTTTGGAGGGCAAGCCTTGTGGAGGACTTATTGACTTATTTAAGCTATTTTTGTCTGCCCTGAACATATCCGAAAATGATGAGTCTATAGAGGATTAAGCAACAATTTTGCAGGGAATTTATGGGAATAATACATTGGAGTACGTAGTCAAGACAATGATGAGCTACTAGATTTGGGGCACCCTACATTCAGACCAGATTGACCGAAGCAAAATGTGTAAAGCTGTCTTTTTTGAGGCAACGGATTCTATTTATATCCACCAAATGAGATTGGAGGCACCGAAGGAAAATCCCATTGTAAGCTATACCCATGGGACTAAATCGAATGTTTCGTGACGCTCGTGACCAAAGTCTCCAGCCGGTTTGGATGGCAAACAATTTTCACTGCAACATGATGGTAAAAACAATCGGGTTTGTCTGAAAATAGAGAACCCCCTCAATCCCATGGACTGTTTGATGTGCTTGTTTTTTTTTTTCCGGAGGTGATATGTACGAAGGTCCGTCAGACGCAGAGCTGCGGGGATAGGTTTGATATGTTTTTTTTAAATGTAAATATCCCAAGATATCCCTAGATATCCCTAGATATCCCAAATACTTTCGATTGTAGAGACTGATGTGTCAGATATTGGGGAAAGCAGAATATATATATATCCTATATCATTCATATCATGATGCTTGATACTTAAGAATCAATATACAAATCATGTCTACATAATATACTCGGGGACTTGGGGATAATAATATCTATCATATCACAGCATCAGATCTGGACACGTATCCCTATCGTTTTCCATGTCGGTGTGTCCAAAGTGTTTGTTGGTCTACAAACCCCATTATATACCTGGAGATATATCCTCTGGTTATTTAAAATGGCCATGGAACCTGGCCCATAGAAATAGATGGTTTACCTATTAAACATGGTGATTTTCCCTGGCTATGTTAAATAACCAGCTGGTATCTCTACAAAGACTATAGGATTCACCTAGTTAGTTCCCTAGTTAGTTCAAGCAACTTCGCTATCAACAGGCGGGTCCATCCTTTTTTTGCCCCAACATCTCCATGGTAAACACATCACCCAAGATATAGTCCTGGATGGTAAGCCATTAACATTCTTGGATGGTCAACACATCATCCGTTGTAAGAACACAATGATACACCACCCAAGAACGTTGGTCAAGGTGCTCTCTCTGGGCCACTGGTGGCCAGCTTGCAGGCTCGGGTAGAATACATTGAAAATCCATGTTTTTTTTGGTAAATTATGTGTTTATCTTTTTGGGGGTTGCTATATAATGCTACATATATTATATAAATATATATAATTCATAATTAATTACTATTTTATTGATATATGTATATATATATACATACATATGGTATATTATATATATGTATATAACATACATATATAATACATGCACACATATTTCTCTATTGATATGTGGGTCGATAGGTTGGTAGATAGACTTGATTAGATAAATTAGTTTGGATCAGATTGGAGAGGATAGACAGACATATAGATAGATAGATAGATAGATAGATAGATAGATAGAGAGATAGATAGATAGATAGATAGATAGACAGAGATAGATAGATAGATAGATAGATAGATAGATAGAGAGAGAGATAGATAGATAGATAGATAGATAGATAGATAGATAGATAGATAATTTAGATAGATAGATAGATAGATAGAGAGAGATAGATAGATAGATAGATAGACAAACATATAGTCAGATAGACATTGTGTTTGATATATTGGTATAGGTATTGATGTTGCTTTGAGCATTAATCTGAAACATACATGCCATGCATGCAATTATTTTTGAATGTCACTACATGTCTATATGTATGTGTATATATAATATATATATATATACAGGTTTCGCTCTTTTCAGGATTTGAGGTTTCACAACTATAATGGCAATATATAAACAATAGAAGGTTCCGGATGGAGCTTTGATTGCTGGTACTTTTGTCTACCAAGGGTGTGACCAACAAATGATGGGCAAGCTGAATACTTGGTTCATGGATGATTCGTACATATCCATAAATGGGGAACATCATGGAATGCTCACTCCCCCGCAAACAAAACAAAAACCATTTCAAATGTCTTGCAGGGCATAGAATGTCAACCATGCGGTGTAAAACTGAGGATATTAGCCACGTTGAACTAGTGTTTAACCGTTTCACCATTGTGTGGAGCAATCCCCGCAAGAAACAGAGGCGAGGTCATCGATGAAATTGCGGCGCTCAACGGCGCATGTTGTGGATCCTTTCCGAGAGCAGTGAAAAGCATGGGAGCTGGATTCCAGGCCAGGATCCTCGCACATGCGGTCTCCTTGGCCGGCTTGGGCACATACGAGGGCCCGGAGGGGGTCCTGTTGCCGATCACAGCTGAGCAACTGGGGCAGGTCACTAGCGGCACGGCAGATGAGGCCACCCTTGACCTCTACGCCAGGTCCATAGCGCACGGCCTGGTGCACGTCGCCGATGCCACAGTGGCAAGGCCACGCGAGCAAGAGATGATGCTTGCCTCGTTCGCAGCAGGCGCAGCACGTAACTACACGAGCCACGAGTCCTGCGTTTGTCCCATGTTTCAAGCTAGGTCCCTACTTGTAGGTGGATGATTGGTGAATGGGAGAAATTGTAGAGATGTCAAGAGGTATCATTCGACATTGTTGGGAAATGAAAAAGGGATTGAGAGAAAAACATATATCCTTGAACATCCTCATTCGAATTTGGTCAACTGAGAGAGGTTTCGGACCCGATTTTCTCCCCGGACAGCACCTCTGCTCGTCGTGAAGGGTTTTTTCCAGCCTATTCGGAGGGAGACAGCTTGATCACGGAAAAATTCTGCAGTTCTTTGAGGAGTGTGAGCAAACCAAAATTCTCATTCCGGGAAACTTATTTGGGGGGTTCCATAGTCATGTGGGTACCCCAATAGCTGGATGGTTTATGGTGGAAAATCCAATTAAAATTCATAATTTGGGGGTACCCCCATGGATTGGAAACCTCCATTTCCCTTAAAACCATTGGAATTGGAGTGCAAAAGAATTCATTTTTTGACTTTTAGCATGACTTAAAGCCGTTTTTCAGTGATTGGTTCTTGGTGGTTCTGGTAAAAATCACCTATCCTCCGGCAAACTAACATAGATTGATTTACCCGCCCATTAAAAATGGTGCTTTTCCATTGTTTTTTGTATGTTTACCAGAGGGTACCAATGAGGAAGAAACACTTCGGGGCCTAGTGACTCAGCAGGGGCGTTGGCCAAGGGAGGTGTTGGGAGCTGTCATCCCAGTCAACCTTAAAGACCTACTTCAGGTGGGGTTTATGAAAACTCCACAGTTTTTTGGCCCTTTAAATACCAGTTTTTTTAGTCAGTGAAAGAACCTAAAAATTAGGGAATGATTTTACACCATTTATTCACCAACTTTGCGATTTCGTAAAAGGGGGCCCCACCTTCCACCCCACCGGTGACGACACAAGGTGTTGCCCCTATAGGTTAGCTGATAACTTTATGATAACTATGGTTTATTGGGATTATATCTGCACCATGTGGTGCCCCCCGGTGATGTTTGTTGGTTTATAAACCCCATGAATACTATAGTTATATCTACCATAAACTATAGTTATTGGACTTATTAACCAACTTAGCTATCTAGAGGGCCCCACTTTGTATGATTCATGAGGATTATAAACCAAATTATAACCCTTGGTAAAACATGATTTTGGAGTTGTGACCACATTTCTGGCTGAGCAAAATGAGGAACACATGTATGCCAATCCGATCGTAACCGGGTCTTTTCCGTTATGGATCCGGGCCCTTACAAAAACAAGCTTATGATATATAAATTTACATGAATGCCGCAGGCTCAAAAAAACATCTGCGGGCAAGACAGCGCAGGGCAATACATCCAAACAATTCCAGTATGCGCTCGCGAATTGACTTGAAGGATGAATGGGTGTACCCGGGGCAACTATACTGTTTCTAGCCTTGCTTTGTCATGAGGATCCTGCCCATGCTCCAAAGACAAGTTCCATGTCAAATGCGTGCAAACACCGGCATTTTGTAGGCACGGCAAACCGTTAATTAAAAACACTGTCTGCGACAAACGTATTTTTCGCATACCCGTATATATCGTCAGGCTGAATGAATGTGTCAGGTCTTGGTGGCTCCCAATGCAGGAATTGAGGTGAAGAAAAAGTGTCCACAAAGGATGCTTGGGTCAAACGAAATGAAACCACCTTAGCCGTGACCTGTGTCACGTCCATCTGGTCAGAAACCAAGCAAAAAGAGACAGCAAAAGTAAGCAGGAACACACACACACAACAATTTGAATTCAAAATCGGAAACACCAGAATAATATGTGCTTGCAGTTTTTGGGTGCCAAGTCCGTTGGTGGAACTCAGGCTTTAGTCACAACACCCAAAAGAAAACGAAAAGACGCGATTGAAATCCCCAAGAAGGCGCAACCACAGCCTTGATGCATTTGCAACCGCAATACTGATCTAAAAAGGTTTCTAAAGCCCAACTGCATTTTTCAAATATGTTCACCACCGACCAGGCGTGCAAGTTAATATTAAGATGGTAGGCTTTTAAACGCGCAATATAAATTCAGGATATGGCCCCAGAAACTCAGCTGCCAATAATTAGCAGGTTGGATGCTGCTGCCCAAAAAAAATATTTGCTTTGAATTGCACAATTCGAAACCGATTTTTTTTGGCTACACCATCGAAATTGTGATTGGTAGCCAACAATTTTTGGCTACACCATCGAAATTGTGATTGGTAGCCAAAATTTTTTGGCTACACCATCGAAATTGTGATTGGTAGCCAAAATTTTTTGGCTACACCATCGAAATTGTGATTGGTAGCCAAAAATTTTTGGCTACACCATGGAAATGGTGATTGGTAGCCAATAATTTTTGGCTACACCATGGAAATGGTGATTGGTAGCCGAAAATTTTTGGCTATACCATCGAAATTGTGATTGGTAGCCGAAAATTCTTGGCTGAAGCGTCAAAAATGTGATGTGGTTTCTGGAAACCCCGTCGCAAATTTGGACATGTAGCCGGCCGGATTTGGCTGGCCCAAACCAATCACTTTCAAACCTTTTGCGCAGGCTGCAAAAATTGATGCGGTTTCTGAAAACCCAGGATGTTTCAAGGGCTGGCAATCCTTTCTCACCTTGAGCACAAAGAGTATGAGGATGATGGGTTCGCTCAAAACCCATTGAATTGTGATTGGGTCTGGGTTTCTGGAAACCCAATCGCGATCCAGGTGCTCAACAGAGGGGTCGAAGCGTGATTGACTGTTGCGTTGTGATTTGGGGTGTTCTTTATAGGGGCTGTGCTTTCGGGGCGCGCTGTGGGGTGTGTGCTTTGGGAGTGCGCTTTAGCTTCGACACTCCTCCATGTATCCTTGATGCTGGGTTTATTGGCTTGGGCCGTACATTACCACCAGTGATTCCTTAAGCTTGCGTGCTTACCGGCCAACACATATAACTACCTTAAGCGCAACTTGGCCCCCCTGGAAACATGCTCTTTTAGTCGCGGTTGTTGCCAACTTCTTCGAAATGTCTCGTGTGTTGGATAACCGCTTAAATGTTGTTACAAGTTTGTCAGCCGGTAGCCTGCCCATTTCCTGTGCTTTTCAAACCATTGAAATTGGAAAAGAAAGTACTAACTTAAATTTGGGTTTGTACTTGCCAGTTTAAATCCATAAAAAGGAAAAACTGCCAAGAACATCATGCGAATCTAAATTGCCGATAATCTCGTGTGATTTTGAAATACATTAGGCTCGAGCCAGCAACGCGTGGTTATTTGCCTTAATTGAAAAGTTCTAGTAGCACCAATGGCTTACGCGCCTGCAACGAACAGCAGGATTTTGTTTCGAACAAGTACCTTTCATTGTGAGTTACGACTTTACTGGGCGCCTAAGTTTCACAAGCGTTATTCTGACGCACTGGGCTGCCGTGACACTGTGCAAAGAAAGGTTTGCTGGCAAAAAATGCCTGATCTCGGGTTTTTCCGTCAAATGGAAGCGCACGTGTTGTGAACTTTCTCGTTAGGTGTACATGAGTGTACATGTGGTCCCCACACGAAGACACGTTTTTTTTTTTAATGAAATTGTTTCTTCCAGTATATAGTCGGATCATGTGTTTTTACTTCAGCAGCCTTGGCAGCAGCTCTGCGGATTGCATCAAACACAATTTTTGGCTGGTTCCAAGGGCATCTTTTGAAAATGTACATGTACAAGTGTACAAGTATGAATTATATGTATATATACATTATAATATATTTGTACTTGAATGTTATATGCAAACTCCTATGCCAAGTCCAAGCAAGTCTTCCCTCCTATGAAGGGAGGCTGATAGCTGAAGAACTGCCAACGTAATCCCCGCACAAAAATAGGTTCAAGATAGCGTACTGCAGAACATGCGATCTGCTCGTTTTGAATTGTGAACTCAACTCGTGGGATGTTCAGCCTCACACCTGAGCCCTGGTTCCAAATTGGAAAGGACCTAGTTGCAATTGGACTAGCATATGTTTATTTTACCAATCGAAATTGGGTTTAGGGAGGACCAACAAACATATCAAGATAGATCCCATTAAGTCCTTAGAATTCCTCCGAAATCCCGTCAAATCATATGGTTAGAGGGTCATCCCACTTAGTAACTGGTTAATGACCCTGGTGATCGCAAGTTCCAGGATCCGTTGGTTATCCCATACATAAGCGGGTGTTCACTATGGTTACTAACCAGTCACGAAATGGACCGCTCATCCAAGTAAAGCAGCAACAACAATGAAATCCCACGAAATCCAGTGTTTAGATGGCTGTAGAATGCAACAAAAAGCTAGGTAAGGAAGTACATGGAAGTACTTATTAACCCAATACTCACCCCCAATAAACCCATCAACATTGACCAATTCTTTTCTCAAAATCCTATGGTATTTTACCTCCCCAGTGAAATGTTTGTTGGTTTAGTTTCACATCATTCACTTTAGATATATCCATTAGAAACCATAGACTTCACCCTACAAAGTGCGCCCCCGTTTACGAAATCGCTAATCTTCCATATTAGAGTTCTCATAGTTATAACAAGATAAAAATGCTAATTGTTCCACCAAATGCCATCATTTCTCTTGCTTTCAGCATTTTCCAATCTTCCAAATGCTGCTTTACAAAAAAAACAAAAACAAATCCCCAGCCTTTTCCAATGGTTCGAAATGCTTCGAAGCGTGGTTTCCAATGGGAACCCCAGGAGATCCAGCAGCATCCAGTTGTCGTTGCAGGTGTTGGACCTCTCCCGGAACCAGTTGTCCTTCCTCCCCGGCGACTTCGTCTCGGGCGCGCAGCAGTTGCGTTACCTCGATCTCTCGCACAACCAGCAGCTCAGTGAGAGTTTTGATGTTGGGAAATCGTAGATTTAACAGGATTTTATTGGGATTATATGGGGAAATCTTGGATTTTAGAGGCTTTTTTAATGGTTTTTAATGTGATTTTATTGCGTGATGTGATGGGATTTTTTGTTGGATTTTTTGGGTTGATATGAGGTAAAAAAAACATGTTTTGTTCACCAGCAATTTCATAGGGATCATTGGGGTGCAACATAAAATCATTCTTTTGGTGATATATGATATGTAATCACATATATACGAGATCAAACCAACATTGTGAGCTGAATTTGTCCCAAAAATGATAGGCGATACCGGCCAGATAGCCACCTCAATAGGAAATCAAATTTTGGGGATATCAGGGATACCCCATTTTCATTTGGTGAAATGGTATGTACCTTCTGGTAAACATACAAAACAATTATGGAAAATCACCATCTATAGCTGGGTAAACCAACTATTTCTATGTCCATTTTCAATAGCAAACTGTTAGTTTACCAGAGGGTAATGTGAGGTGGGGTCCCGAAACGATAGCAAAGCTGGTGAACATCACTCCAAAATTTAGTTTTTTTTTTTTATGTGTTTTTAATGGTTTTTATGGCACTTATCATGACTGGTGATTAGAAATGGCTAAGTTGATTGAACTAGGTGAAGTCGATTGTCTTTTACATTATGATAGATACTGGTTGGTGGTTTCAAACATTTTTATTTTCCAGATATATGGGATTATCCTTCCCATTGACTTTCATATTTTTCAAGATGGTTGAAACCACCAGCCAGGATATATCTACAGTGAATGGGGTGAAACTAAACAACTTGGCTTGATTATAATGCCTAAGGATTCGGAATTTCATCCTGGGATGGCGAAGTCCCAGTCGACACCATGGCGCACCTATGACACATGCCAGGTATTCGATCAATGTATTGTACAGGATGGGGCCCCAGTTCGTTTGCTAAGTTGGTTTATAACTATAATAACAATAGTGTATGATACTTATAACTATATTTAGATTGGGTTATAAACCAACTTATGTCTGGGAGGCCCCATCCTGTAAGCCTGCGTAATTTCACCATATGGGGGAACACCAACTTAAATTAAGTGCAGGCCGTACGTGGAAGGAGACTTGGGGAGGGGGGATTTTCCATACAGTTAAGGCCCGAAATACCAGTTATAGGTCAGTTAGAACTTTATTTAGGAAATTATAACCCCGTTTATAACCACGTATAACGATTTATAACTGGTATTTCGGGCCTTAACTGTACTAAGTACTACCAGTGTCCTGCCATGTCCTGGCGAGAGGCTCTTTGGTTTGCCCGACAGCATTCTGAAGTGCACCAGGCAACGAGGGGAATCAGGGCAGTTTTCAGATGTTTTTACAGGGCTAGTTTCTACAAGGTGGTGCCCCAGTTCGTTAGCTAAGTTGGTTTATAAGTCCAATAACTATAATAGGGTTGATTAGGGGGTTATATAATATATCTATAGCATTCATGGGGTTTATAAACCAACTTATAACTTGGGGGGCACCACCTTGTAGATTTATGTACATATGTAATGTCATTTGTTTTTAATAGCCAGCATTTTCATTGTTGCTGATTTCATTATAGGATTGTGTATTATTGTCAATAACGCTATATCATTAGTTAATCAAAGTAACTAGCATTAGTACTAGTAATAATAGTCATAACATTACTAATCTGTCATCTTTAAAGTTATAATGACTGTTGTTGCTTCTTAATCGTTCATGAAACTATATTTTTTAAAGATACATCTTAATCAGTATCATTAACTGGTTGCTGGTTTGGAAAATGAATTTTACTTTTCCATATATTGGGAATTTCATCATCCCAACTGACGAACTCATATTTTTCTCAGGGGTAGGTATACCACAAGGTGGTGCCCCCATAGTTATAAGTTGGTTTATAATCCCCATTAACTATAGATATAACCCCCATAAACCCTAGCTATTGGACTTATAAATAAACCAACTTAGTTAACTATGGGGCACCACCTTGCACCAACCAGTCATTAATTACTGTTAATTACTCTTTTATGGAAATCCAACCACTCCCCCGAAAAAAAATGAAGCACCCAATTTTTTCGATTGCTCAGATTCCCCCTTCGAGCGACCTGGTGGTTGACCTTGGTTTTAGGTTAGTGAAATAGTTTAACTTACCCACTTTAGCTGGCTTACAAAGCCTGTTAACATCTGTTAACCATAGTTCCCTAGTGCTCCAAATAGCCTCTGAGAAGGTGTAAAAAGACCCCAAGAAACAACTCCAAATACAGTCTCAGAAGGTGTTTGGAGCTGTAGGGGTTAGTTTGAATTGCCATGAAAGCTACAATGTAGGGCCGCCCAGTTATACAATGTTATACATTGTTTTATAAACGCCGTGACTTGTATAAGTATCATCAACAGTAGGTATTGTCGTTATTTGAACCAACCAATCGCGATTTCGCTATCACGACGTCCCCACCTAGTAAGCTGTTGAAAGTTGGAGTTATGTTCAGCAACTTAGCCATCACAAATCGGCTATAGATCCCATGAAATCGCCATTGGTTCTAAACATATATAGTTGGTCGGTGAACGTCCCCTAGGTGTCGTTTTGAAGTATAAAGAATACATTGAACATGTAAGCTTACATTTTCAAGGCCCCCTTGAAACATGTACCTTACATTTGCGTATTGTCCTCCACGCAAAAAGGGTATAGTGATGTTACATATGGAATATCACCAACTATATAACCGCACTTGGGAAGCAGCTACAATACGTGGCATGATTATGTGTTGATTAATACTCCACAATAGTGATCATAGTTGAGTATCTGGTTGGTGGTTTCAAACATGTTTTATTTTCCATAATATGTGGGATAATCCTTCCCATTGACTTTCATATTCAAGATGGTTATTACACCACCAACCAGGTATAGTATGCCACATAAGTAAATAAAGTGCGAACAATTCCATTCACTCATTCACTTTTCCTAAACATCTCCGTTGGTCGAATCCCCACGATTATGGCCGCAGTTATAAATGGGATTCTAATGATGGTCTAACCTTAGTTGTAGGAGTTATATGTCCGTTCTATAACTGTTTTAATGGCCATAACTGCATGTTTTCGGAGGCTCTTGATTTTGAAAAAACATCTTCCATGGTTATAATTTAGTGTAGTTTTTATATCATGCCTTTTTCTACGCGTCAGAATTCCATTCAAACATGTCATGTTTCCTAAACGAATCTCAGTGTTTTTTTTCACCGTCGGATGTGGGAGGCTCTTGATTTTGAACGTGGACAACAACGACATTGAGCAATTGCCCACGGCCTTCGGGCGGCTCCTTGGTACAGCAATTGGGACAAAAAACATGTTTTTGGCCCCCGGGTAAGAGGACATGGTGCGTGAAACGCCATAGAAAAGTGGCTGAATTCACTGAATTCCTATGGTTTATGGTAGTGATATAACTATAGTATTCATGGGGATTATTTCATGGTTTATAACTCCAATAACTATGGTTTATACTTATAACTATACTATTCATGGGGTTTATAGGCCAACTTATAGCTCTCCCCCGCATTGTAGATGATTTAATGATGATTTACCTATCAAAAATGGTGTTTTTTTTTTCACAATTTTAGCTATGTTAAATAACTAAAGGGTACTTGGTGGATCCATCACACGAATCGTAAGTGGGTTAAAACGAACTGCAGTGAAATAAGTGGGTGAACTCTACTTATGCCATTTATTTCACTGGGGTGTTTACTCACCCACTTACGATTCGTGGGATGAGCCGCCAAGTACGAATGATAAAATGAGCAAACGCATGTTGCACATAGATCAAACATGATAGAATCAGCAAAAAGTTGGGAATATGATTAGGTAATCTTATGGTTCAAGTGATTGGAGGGTTCAACCATGACAGAGCGCCATGGGGATACAGCATCAAACATGTGGCTTTTTACATGTTTTCACTGCTTGGTGATGGGTATATCGTCGTAGAACTGTGAATCTTTTGCCTTGAAGGGGAAAAACATGAAGCTAGCTGAGCTAACCTGTTTTTTTTTTTTTATCAGGGACCCAAGAAGAGTAGCAGTGACCATGGGTATAATTTAATTGCATGCCTAAATAAAGATTAATACCCATGATATATAGGTATGTGATCAATTTACAAAGTGGCATGCACATCCAAGGACACTGTACTGGAAACACTTTGGCTGGGTAGTTTACAGTAATCTATATAAGTAATGCCAGGAAACTGGTTCGGATATGTTTGGGTAATTATGAACTGCATCTTTGGTGTTCCATCTTAGTTTTCAGGTTGGAAAATCGTAGCAAAACACCGTCATGAAATGAACACATGATGTTGGGATTTTTATCTTTGGATATTCACATGTTCTTTGATTGGTTGCTTCTTTCCCAATTGGACGAAGTGGAATATCCGATGGCATCTACAAAGATGCCCTCCCAAGTATGTAAGTTGGTTTATGTTCACCAAGTCAACTCTGTTTGTACAACGTGAGGCCCCCAAGATATCTAAGTTGGTGCAAATAACTCCAATGACTATGGTTTATGGTACTTATAACGAACTAGTTACTGGGGCGTATCTAAACCAACAAACATCACTGGGGGGCCTCACATTGTATATATATATACAGATGTCCATTATATATACAGAACAGTTGTTGTAATGATTTCAACCAACAAATCCACGGGACGAGCTGCTTTTATCTTGAAACATCTCAAACAAACAAACACACACACACACACACTGATGAAATTTGAAACATATCTTCAACAAACACTGATGAAATTGGATGATATTCCGTGCATCAAACATCATAAAACCAGCATTGTCCATGATTTTCCCTGATTAAACCACCATTTTTCCGTGTTTTTTTCCCTAAGGTCTTCGCAGTTCCAAACGTCGTACCGTAGCGTCGCCGAGGCTCACAAGTCTGCGGAAGCTGACAGCTTCCTACAACGCCCTGACACAGCTGCCCGAGAGTATTGGAGACTGTCAACTCTTGGAGAAGATTCGGGTGGTGAACAATCACATCACCGCAGCTTGGTTGTTGTTTACCGGCATGGTACTCGTAAGTTTGGTAAGTCGACGTATCGTTAATTCAGTTCACATATGATTTAAGCAGTAGTCAAATCACAGCGTTTTGTGGTTGAATGAAGTAACTATGTTTTATTTTTTGGGGTTATGTGTATACCCTCTGGTGAACTAACAGAGCAATGGAAAATGGCTATTTATAGTGGATTTTCCCATTAAGAATGTAGCAATGTATCTACAGCTAAATAAAGAATCACATCACCGCAGCTTGGTTGATCAATCACTATATAGTTAATGGGGTTAAATATGGTAACTATGTAATTGATAATGACGAAAGTCTTATAGATTACGTAAATATAATCATACATATATATATAATGTATACAGAATATATATATAATCATATATCTATATATATATATATCTATATTCATACATATATATATAATCATACATATATATAATTATATATATATATATATTTGTGAGGATGATTAATTTTTAAACTGGGAATCCCCATTTTTTTGCATGATGACAGAGATGACAGGTCATCCCGACTTGGAAGGCCTGCAACGGTAATCTAACATAGCTACGGTGGGCGGCTCATCCCACGATTCCTAAGTAGGTTATATCCCCAGTTATAAGCGACGTTATTATGTGTACAAGGTGGGGCCCCCGAGTTATAAGATGGTTTATAAACCCCATGAATACTATAGTTATTTGCGTACCATAAACCATAGTTATTGGAGTTATTTGCACCAACTTAGCTATCTAGGGGGCCCCACCTTGTAACTATAAATATAGCTACGTTAATTATAGCAACGTTAATATTCTTGAATATCACATTCACATACAAGATATACAAGAAATGGATTTCCGGAAGAACTACCCTCTGGTTATTTAACATAGCCATGGAAAATCACCATTTTTAATAGGTAAACCATCTATAAATAGGCCATTTTCCATGGCTATGTAACAAATAACCAGAGGGTAACTATAAATACCAGAGGGTATCACAATATCCCCATCATATGTGTATGGGTAAAACTAACATAACTATAGAAAATCACAATTTTATAGCTGGGTAAATCAAATATTTCTATGGCCATGTTCAATAGCAATGTTAGTTTACCAGAGGGTAACCCCAGTGAAATAAGTGGATTAACTCCACTTATCTCATTTATAACTGGGGTCCTAACTTATAACCCATTTACGATTCGTGGGATGAGCCACCAAGTATACTATGGAAAGTGGATGAACAATGCCCATTTATAGATAGTTTACCTGTTGAAAATGGTGATTTTCAACAGTTACTGTATGTTAAAATACCAGAGTGTCACTGGGTTTTTCGCAGGAACCAACTGCAGCTCAGAAACCAATGATTGCAACAGAAAAGCTGGTGGAACTGTAGAGATTTGCGTGTGCTTGAATGCGAAGACCGGGCATACCCTCAAATAGCCATGGAAAAATGAGAACACGATGATAAAACCATCAAGTGTTCGCATACCCTCTTTTCAGACAAACCCATTCCGGGTTAGCTGTTTTGTGTCCTCGGCCAACCTCAGCCAACTTAACTGTGAAAAATATACGCCGGCTTCTCTTTTTTTTATTGATTTCAGTTGAAAGTTCCCAACGTTTGGTTCATGTCTTCCGAACTAACTTAACCGACTTAACCGTGGTGATGTTGGTGAATGTCGAATCTATTGCCAAACCAACTTAACGTTTCTCGTTTACCTCTTGATTAAACCTCAGCCAGTCAAGTTTGAGGTAGCAACATCACCGTAGCTCATACAGGAACGGATCCCAGTTCTAAGTTGTTTTTTTTGTAAACCCAACTGTAAATATCTCCACCTTTTCAACCCCAAGTTTTCCTAGTTTACACAGCCTCTGTCTGCCCCTTAAACGTTTTTGCGTCGCGTAGGTCATGCCACATTCGCTGCTGAAGTTGTGGAAGCGAAAGGGTGGAGTATTGGAAGAACTCTTGGTGGATGGGAATCCTTTGATCCAGCCAAGCGTCTTGGCCAGACACCGGGTAGCAGCATTTCACGGGGAAGCTGCGAGCTCAGCTGCGATGATTTTTTGTGATATTTTCTTTTAAACATGATATATATATATATAAACTTGATATAAACAAGTTAGTGAAATTGGAGTTTTTTCAGCCAGTTTGTCTTGGTTTTGGTTACTGTATCATGGGGATAATATAATGAGGATTTAATGGGATTCAATGGTGATTTAATTGGATATTATGGTGAGTAAAGCAATCAATAGTAATGAAACCGTACCAAAATTCACCATACATGGGTTGTATAACCCATCAAAATATGGTCTAATAGTAGTCTTGGCTCTGGAATTCACCATACATGGGTTGTATAACCCATCAAAATATGGTCTAATAGTAGTCTTGGCTCTGGTATTACGGGGATATCGTGGGAATATGGGTCACGCATCTAATATGTTTGTATTGAGCATCTAATTACTGGATGGAGTACTAGAAAGATCATATACAATTTGCTCTCCTTCAGTTATGTTTGTTGCTTTCTGTTGCTTTCTGTTAACCTCATTTACTATAGTTATAAGATGTTATAAGTACCATGAACCATAGCTATTGGCGCGAGAAAAACCACTGTCTTGGCTAAAAAAAGTGGATGAATGCTGTGGGGAGTCCTGTGGTGAATCTTATATGGGAATCCTATGTGGATATAATACTGTACAAGGTTTTGCCCCAGTTCGGAATCGCTAAGTTGGTGCAAATAACTCCAATACCTATGGTTTATAGGTGATATATCATGATATATCTACAGTTGATGGGATTATAAAACAAACTTATAACTTGGGGGGCACCACCTTGTAGATGTAATGAGAGTCTGACAGCGTAATAGTGACATGATCTATCAAATGGCTTATAATGGGGATATAGTGGTGATTATATAATTATATATATATGGGTTAAAATTTAATAGGCCGGGGGCCACCGATTTTAGTACATGTTGTTAGTATGGACCATTTCATTGGGGTACTCAAGTTTTACCCATACACATATGATGGGGATATAGTGATACCCTCTGGTAATTTGCTACGTAGCTATCGGAAATGGCCCAGTCGAAATAGTTGATTTACCAATTAAAAATGGTAGATTTTCCATAGCTTTTTGTATGTTTACCAGGCCGGGTAATTGATTTGGGATATTGGATGTAAGTTTTGACCAGTGGATAGTGGCTTTTACTGGATGGACTACAGAGGTACTCTGGCCATACACAATTAGTTATTACCCTCTGGTAAACTAACATAGCTATGGAAAATCACCATTTTTAATGGGAAAATCCACTATCAATGGCCATTTTCAATAGCTATGTTAAATTACCAGAGGGTAGTTGTTTCTTCTTATGATCCTTTTGTGTTTTGGATGTGATAGATGGACTTTAACCCACATCAGACCCAGAAAAAGTGAAGCCTCAGAGTCTTGACTCCTGCTTTTGCTGGATAGTCGGATATCATGGGGTGTCCTCAATGCGGATGTAGCTCGGATATTATCTCGGGTGTCCATGGGTGTCCTCAAACATGGCTCGGAAATCCCCGAAGCAAATTGTGATTGAACTGTGTACATAATCTATTACCCTCTGGTTATTTGTTACATAGCCATGGAAAATGGCCTATTTATAGATGGTTTACCTATTAAAAATGGTGATTTTCCATGGCTATGTTAAATAACCAGATGGTATATACAAGATGATGTTCCACTGCCATATTTCATTACGACAGGGTATAGTATAGATTAGTATAGACTATAGCTTTTACGTGGCCATGCAGTGATGTTTTCTCCATGATATCACGCACTTCCATTTGCAGAACCCCAAAATAATGATGATACTTAGTGGATCCATCACACGAATCGTAAGTGGGTTATAACTACTCTCTGGTAAACATACAAAAAGCTATTGAAAATCACAATTTTTAATGGGTAAATCAACGAATTAAATGGCCATTTTCAATAGCAAACTGTTAGTTTACCAGAGGGTAACCCCAGTGAAATATGTGGATGAACTCTGCTTATCCCACTACAACTGGGGTTATAACTGGATCATGACACTTACTAAGTGGGATGAGCCAACCAAGTAGTTTAACGGCTCATGTCTTGCCATAGATGGGGATGTTTGATGTTTACTACCCTGCAAACAAGATGTTTTCACAGGTCACTTTTCCCTATTCTGAACCGAAAGTAGCTTCTCAGACGGTGCTGAACCGAGCAGTTGACCCATAGGATCTGAAAGTTTTCTTCAGTTGTACATGTTGTACTGGTTTTTCATCCTACGAATCGCAAGGTTTATGCAAGTACAGCTTGTATAATCTTGTATATTTGGTTTGTGCCAGGATTTTTCGGGTGGCGATAACTTCCATACTTAGCGGCAAGCGGCCCCTGTCGGACGGCCGCTCAGCATCCCAAATTGAGTAGTTTTTTACACTTGTCGTTCCTGTAGCCATTCTCGCTCAACGTCTATGAACTTCTGAAAATCTTGGGTTTGTCTTACGGCTCTTAGCCGATGAATCTCATGTGGAGCGTCGCGCTTGCGTTCGCAACCTTGGCAACGCCTGGCTGCGCTGTGGTGGACAAATGGGAAGATGTGGGCTTTGGTCTTACCCATATAGCGAGCTTCTGGGCAAACTTGGTCCGGCGTTTGGTTTGGAATTAAAGGTATGAAACATGGTGATTTGGAGAATGGGAATTCATGGGATATATGTATATATAGCCAAATATAACCAAGTATTGGATAAACATACATACATACATCCATGCATGCATACATACATACATACACATACATGCACATACATACACATACATACACATACATACACATACATACACATACATACATATACATACACATACATACACATACATACATACACACACATACATACACATACATACACATACATACACATACTTACACATACATACACATACATACACATACATACACATACATACACATACATACACATACATACACATACATACACATACATACACATACATACACATACATACACATACATACACATACATACACATACATACACATACATACACATACATACACATACATACACATACATACACATACATACACATACATACACATACATACACATACATACACATACATACACATACATACACATACATACACATACATACACATACATACACATACATACACATACATACACATACATACACATACATACACATACATACACATACCTACACATACATACACATACATACACATACATACACATACATACACATACATACACATACATACACATACATACACATACATACCCATACATACACATACATACACATACATACACATACATACACATACATACACATACATACACATACATACACATACATACACATACATACACGTACATACACATACATACACATACATACACATACATACACATACATACACATACATACACATACATACACATACATACACATACATACACATACATACACATACATACACATACATACACATACATACACATACATACACATACATACATACATACATATACATACATATACATACATATACATACATATACATACATATACATACATAGACATACATATACATATATATATATACATATATACATACATA